GTAAATATTTAAAAACAACATTTAGTAGTGTTTTAAGCAAATATTTCAATCTAACGTAACTTAATTAGTTAATAATAACAATCAACACAAATACTAGACATTTAACTTTTATAAACGTGTATTATATTATATATTATGTGTTATGTATTAAAACTTTTACATCCTAATATGCAATTTATTCAATAATATGGTGTGAAAATCTTTAAACAACTTATATGTTATATGTTTGTGCTTGCAGCTGTTGTAGCGCGATGCACTACTGGGTCGCGCGCGCATCAAATAATGCTTCTCGCAACCACAGAAACCGCAGATCGGCGAGATGCGAAGGATTGACATCGTGAATCAATTGCAGCTGATATCAGGCTTGGGTGGGTGGTGCTTTAGAAACGGTATTTCTGATTTCGGGTACTAGTAAAGCTCTTACAGGCAACTGGTTCCTTTTGCCAGCCGTTTTTAGTCCAGTACTGTTTCATTTCTGGTCTCGGATTAACGGGTGATACTCGTAAACAGTAAAATCAAAAATATCTGTTCCATATATTGGAGTACCGCGTCGACGAGTCCAACTCGGCGCGCGTCCTGGTAGTTTATAAACCTACAAGTCTCGGAACATGTGCAACAAAAATGTGCCAATATAACGTGGAATTAATTGTAGCACGTCGTAACCCCCTGTCATTGCACAAAGTGGTTTTGTGGTGATCAAAGCCGCGAATGACGAAGCCAAGCACTCGTGCGCGGCAGGGCTACCCGCTACAACGTGAAACAAGACATTATGAACTATTTATTTATAAAATTTAAACATTTATGAAACGAGTCAGTTGAGGAAATATATTTTTTGAATAACGCTCACTTCTGCTTTAGAATTTTTATTTAAATTTTGAATTGCGCTGATAAAAATGTATGATTGAGACAAATCTTCGAGTATGGAGTAGTTCACTACTATATAGTAAAAAGCTTATTTTCAATTTTACATTTCGTTAGCATATCCAATATTCATGGACATGAGTTTATTATCGGATGTTTAAGTTTAACTATGTTTATTATGATATTATTATTCATTGTAATATGGCAATAAAATTTAAAATTTGTTTTACTTAAATTTTGTTTTACTTAAGTTATAAACTATTAATGGCATTTTTCAATCAAAATTCGGTGAGAAAGTTGTGGTTTTTTCTAGTCAAGCGCTGATAAACGGTGAATTTTCATTATTAGAGGCAACTTTTGGTACCAAATTTATCAAAATCAGAGACAACAAATTCTGTGCTTATTACATAGCAGTGGCGTAGGACTGATGAAAAGTTTGAAAATTAGAAATTTTCAGAAAATGTGTTATTGGACTGCCGATCTGGGGAGCAACCTAGGGCCCTCTATATATTCATGCCCATTGTAGGCTGCATCCCCGATCCCCGAGACTTCGTCTTACTTTCGTCTGGTTTCCACTCTCTCTTCATACCAAGTTACTAGCTAGGTAACAAGGTAATCGAGACAGTTTTCAACGTAACAACGATTTCAGCCGGTTCGGACAAATCTTTATTCTACCAACTGAACAACAAATCAGTGCACTTCCATCTGTACGCGTCCTCACACACTATTCTAAAACCAAAGTTGCCTTTATACCCCAACACAGTTTACGAAACATTTACTTGTATGTACTGTTACACCTAATCAACCAGCCAATTTCACGCTATTACAACTCCCTGCAACTCCTCTGCAACTCCGAGAGCTCTTAATTACGCCTTATATGGTGCGTAATTGCCTCTGCATAATAGCTCAATATCACGCGCTATATATCCAACCAGTAAACGCGCTCAATCGATATCTCGTGACTGTCACGTGACAGCTATCCAAGGAAATTCTCTATATGGCGCCTCCGGTGTAAACTAGGAAAGAGCTAGTTTGAGCGTTAAATAGGCGGGACACCGCTAATATTTATTAACTTCTACCATCACCCAAACAGGTGGCGGTGAAGCTGAAAGTCAGCCTGTGTGCGATTGCTATTCCTGCGATATCAGACACGAGCACACTTCACACATTCTGGAGAGCCTCCCTTTGTAGGAGGACTCTTATGGAAATAAAGACCTCAGTAAAGAAGTATTACGTGTTCCTAATTTATTGCAGTATCCAAGGTCTGTTTAAAAAAAAATATATAATCAATTATAGCCAACAAATTTATTAAACAAAAACAGAATCACATTAAAAATGTGCGTAATCTATAATACACAGGGGTATAGGTATACACTTCTCATTAAATTCGTTGGAAAGTTGTTCTCTGCAAGTTGCAACTAACTAGATATTAAAATCATGATAGGCTGGTGTGTAGCCATGAAAAGTGCACATAATTGTTTTACCTTCGTCACGAGTTAACTCAACCGCAAAGAGAAGAAAGTGAAAGAAAAGCATTCTCCGACGATTCCGTCCTTTAAAGAAAAGAAAAATCTATTAGTATCTGTACACTACGAAGCATTCAACTAACCAAATAATGATATTGGACTGAACTGCGCTCTAACACAGCCTTTAAAATAGCCTTTTGCTGCAGGTTCTACTTTCATCATCACGTGATTCAAGATCTCGCCTATTAAAGCGACCCTAGCTACCAGGCCCATTTACAAATTAAAGATCCATTAATCCCTCTTACTGATGAGTAGTCCCCCCATAGAAGATATTTGATATATTTGAACCTATTGAAAATTATATAAAAAGCCTTACTTTTCTTTGAACTACCAGCTTTGTAAGTCGTATCGTAGACGACATTTGCTCTTTCTAAATTTTCAAACTATCATGTGGACCATCCCTGTAAAATTAATTCGAAAAATTAATTCTTCTCCTCAAGCTCGATCAGAAAGTCAGGATTTCAGTACGTTTGTTCATGAACGAAACGTGCAAATTGGGGAAAATAGTAAGTTGCATAGTAACGTCTAACAGGGGCGGAACGGTGACACACAAGTTCATTCACAGACATGTACCTGATACCTGACATCAGATTCCGAGACTCATATTCGACCCGAGATCCAAACCTTACTACCCCCATAATGTTTAAATTCCATAGACTTAATATCTGAATCCAATATTCAAAATACTAATATTTTCATTGAATCGCTTTATCCTCGGTTATTAAGCTTGTATAAGAACAGCGATTATGCTAACTTTTCCTGTAAGTTAACAATACGACACCCCCAGTATATTCGCTAACTGCTCTACGAGATGACCCCCGCCTTCAAACAGCTCCTGAACATCCACAGAGCTCCCATAAATCCAGACTAGAGGTTCCCCACCAACAGGTATAGACCTGGAGACCCGCGTGTTTCTGCTTATAAAGGGATATTGATATCTGTGAATTGATAGAATGAACTCTGATGTAGTTTTTTAATTAAACCGAAGGGCTACTTTCGAATGCCTAAATTATTTAGGTGACCCAAATATAAAATTCTCTTTAAAATGTGTAATTTTAACGATCTTAACCTTTTTACTACTGGAAGACTGGAGACTTGCAACCTTCTGCTAAGGTCATCAGGATATGCCCGAGATGAGCAAGTTTGTGTACGAATTACAACTACCTAAGTAATTGAATAGTTGACGAAGGAGCAAGAATGAGCTTAACAAGCTAAAAGAAGCTGTTGAATCAGCTGCCATAGATTCCAAGGTATGAATAATAATCGGCTATGAAATTAGTTTTAATAGATTATTAGTAAATAATAAAAAGAAGTTAGAAAAATGACCAAACTGCTCGCTATCCTGTCGGACAGGATCACAGATTTTAGCATTTACAAGGGTTGTATGGATAGTCCAAATTTTTTGAATTAGAAATTCCTTCGCCATGTTTCTTACTTGACTTAATTTTAAGACATCATGAAATTCACAAGAATATCTCTCTAGACACCAAGGAAGCTAAAACGATAAAGATGCACCGATTGAGGACGATCCTGAATAGAAAAGAAGAACCTGGAAATAACCTTGCTCACCGTAAGGATCTGCTTCTAGCAGCTTAATTCTTGTTCACCGATTTTACAGAAAATATTGTATACCCGATAATGGTGTAAAAGTAGGGGTGGGGTTTAATTCGTGTAAAATTAAAAATTTTGGGTTGGGGGGGGTTTATTTCCCTTGGGAGTAGGGGGGTTTTATTTCGTGGGAAAATTAGTAGGGGGGGTTTTTTTTAATACGTGTAGGGTGGGGGTTTGGGTTTTTACGTTCCCCCCTGTAACTGTTTTAAGGCCTCTGAGTGTTTTAATAAATGCCAAAATTAAAAAAATGGGGTTTTTTATGTTTTTTTTTAAAAAGTTTCAACTGTGACACTCGCTTCCTGAGGAGTTACATTTTTTGGGGAATTGAAATGGTAAAATGGGGGGATGGGGAATTTTAAAAATTTGTACGGGGGAAAAAAAAATTGGAAGTTTTTTGGGATTTTTTCGGAGGGGGGGAAAACGGGAGACCCAAAATTTAAAAGCTATAAATTTTTTTTAAATAAACCTTTTTTAAAAAATGGGGGCGAATTTAAAATAAAACTTTTAAAATTAAATAATTAATAAACTTGGTAAAGGTTTTTGACGAAAATCACCACTTCCCCCCCCCAACAAGGGAAAAAAAAGAAAAATTAAGAAAAGTTGTGTAAAAAAAACCGGGCCCCCCCGCACCCCCAAATCCCCCCCCGTCAAAACCAGAAGAAATAAAAAAAAGGAAATTACCTGTTTTTTAAAAAACAAAAAAAACCCAAAAGGAGCTATTTTAAAGCCCCATTTAAAGTTGAAGTTTTTTTGGGAAAAAATAATTTTTATTAACTCTAATTAAGTTAACTTTTCTTTCCACTCCTTATCAATTTTCATGGTTACTGTTTTTACAATATTACACTTATTTTAGAAAATGTTGCACTTACAAAGTATTTAAAAATTTAAGATTTTTTAAATATCAAAGTGAACTTAAAAATGTTAAACATAATATTTAAAACAAATTTCCGTGGTTAAAATTATTATCTACTATCTAGGTCTGGCCTTCCCCCGGATTGTCGTATTCTACGACATAGTTAGTGACGAGGAGGCTAATATAATGATGGAACTCGCTCAACCTCATTTGAATAGAGCTACGGTGCACAACAAGAACACAGGTAACTTAACCTTAACCTCATTTCAACCTCATTTCAACCTCATTTTAACCTCATTTCAGCCGAGCGCAGCTAGCACCAATCACCGATAATGTACACAATATAGGTATACAATATACATACATTGTCGGTGAACATGATAGACACCGCACAAATAATAAACGTGTAATATTATCAGTATCATTAAAAAACTGAAAAAACACATCGTTGACCAATGACCATTGACCATACATGTGATACAACTGGTTAAAAAACCTCCATTTTTTCCAAAAGACCTCCACACTTTTAAGTTACAATTATGATAAATAACAAGAACAATTACTAATCTAATTAATATTTAAGTTGAAATTCCCTTGGGCCAGTTATGTGCGGGTTAACAACTGATCAATGATCATGATGTTACACGTCATGTTACACGTCATGTTACACGTGATGTCACACGTTATGTTACACGTTATGTCACACGTTATGTTACACATTATGTTACACATTATGTAATATGTTACACGTTATGTTACACGTGATGTTACACGTTATGTTACACGTTATGTTACAAGTGATGTTACAGGTAAATTAGAGAACGCTGAGTACCGAGTGAGCAAGACAGCGTGGCTGGATGACGACATGACTGAGGACAAGGGGCGGATCGTCCGCAGGATAAACCGGAGGATGGAAGACGCTACGGAGCTCAGTCACGACTACGCAGAACTCGATCAGGTCAGTATAGTGTCCGCTACACAACCAGTATTTTAAGTGTTACAACCAGTGTTTTAACCGTTACACAACCAGTATTTTATGTGTTACAACCAGTGTTTCAACCGTTACACAACCAGTATTTTGTGTGTTACAACCAGTGTTTTAACCGTTACACAACCAGTATTTTATGTGTTACAAGTTACAACCAGTGTTTTAACCGTTACACAACCAGTATTTTATGTGTTACAACCAGTGTTTTAACCGTTACACAACCAGTATTTTATGTAACACAGCCAGTTTTCGATCCGTTACGTGTTATGTCATATTATATGTATCTAACACTTAACAACTTGTATGTGCAATAAAACTAAATGGTTAAAAGTAATAAGTATTATATTGCTATTTGCTATGTAATATTGAAAGTTAATATCCCAATGACAATTTTGCATTTTGTTTCCAAATCCAATAAAGAAAGGTATTTTTATTCCCAATTATATCAAAAGAAATATTCTAAGAATGTAAAAGGGCCTTTTATCGCACTAAGATACGATTAAACGTAAGATATGCGTAGTCAAGATTTGATAAACATGCTTGATGCTACTAAAGAAGTGTCCCTGTTGAAAGTTTAAAATTGGAATTTCCTATTCCGATTAACTTTTCCAATCGTCCAGGAACCTGCGTACTTTAGATTTAGGGATTAGCATCGTTGATGAGAGATTCTTCCCATGATTCAACATTTTTTGCGAACTTCCTGAAGTAATGAAACTTTTAGTGATACGAATAAGTCCCTTCCATAAAGTAAGTGGATAAATCAAATATAATTTAAGTCTGGGAAGGAAGATTTCACGTTTTAAATCACATCAAAACAAAATCAGCTATTAAATTTTATTGTTGCAAACCTCCAAAATACACAATTTAGTTCAACTTCGTTGTCGCAGATCAAATCCACCAAAGCATTCCTGATTCTGTCAAAAATCTGGAATTCTTTACGAGTCATTTCCTGCTCCATGTTCTTGTCGGCGTCATTTATCAAGGCATCCTTAGTTTCTTGATCAGCAAGGTTCTCCTCCTCCACATCTTTCTCTATCAGGTATTTTTGTAAGGGTTCAGATTTGGTTGAATCAACACTGCTGAGATAAGTTGAAATCACCTCAATGGTATGCCACATTAGGTTGACGCCATTAACTGCTTCGGGTTTGCCCAATTCTTCCAGGAGATATTTATACTTTTCCGTGTGCGAGTCTGGTGGTGATGGTATTATTGCTGTCTTTGTCAGTGCAGTCACCATGAGAAATAGAGCCATACACGAAATCTTAAACATTTTACCTGCTGCTGTATTTCATCCATCAATAATTATTAGCGCAAGTCGGCATGCAAATTGTTTTTACTTAATTAATTCAAAACGGTTGAGTTTCTAACGAAAATGTACTTTAAGTTGTACTAAGTAACAACCATGTATCAGTGAAAATGTTTTAGAAAAGAAGAATAAAATCTGTAAGTACAAGACTTGTACTGTAAGTACTGTAAGTACAAGACTTACAACTTACTTACAGATTTTAGAGATCAGTCTTGGCCGTACAAAAATAAGGGCAAACCAAGGTACGGCCGGGGTCTCGATAAGTTTAAAGAGGAATTAAAATAGGTTGTACAAGAACTGAACTCATCTTACAGATATCATGCATTTAAAAGGATTGCTACTCTAAACGTTCCTCAACAACGTGTCGCATGGGAAGTTTTCTATTGTTGGGAGGGTAACCCAATTACTGCTGAAAATCCCCCTTCCCCTAAAACTAACAATAAGAGGAGAACGGTAAACAAAGAAATCGTGAAAGGGAGATTTAGTAAACGACCTCACGGAAGATTATCTATTGCGTAAAGTGCCCAATTATATAAGAACCATCATCCACTTTACTGTAAAAACAGTAATAAACTGCACTACTATTTTCTGGAATCAAACAATTCTCCAATTAATATCACCTCAACTATCAAATGCCATCAATTATAATTTACACCAACTCCTTTTCAAAATAAAACAATCTATAAACATCAGATTCTCCCACCCCTCCGTGTCCCTAATGGCAAAATGGAGTGAGTGTACAGTGCCATCGCATCTAAAAGATAATTTTATATTGTAATTGGATTGGTGTAAAAAGTCAAAATTTGCACCATTTAGGACACCCTCAAATCGACCGAAAATTAGTTTAAACATCAGGGGTATATACTTTAAAGGTGCAAAATTTAGCAAGCATGCGTTCTCACCTGGTCTAACGAGCGGGAAACGGAGCAGCAGTTCGAGTGACGTCATAGTCACTTGACCTCAGACCCAAGTGGGGTGCGGCCCGGGTGCTCCATCTCGAGGTGACGTACGACAACTCGTCAACCCAATCCATGTCTGGAAAACTGAAAAATGTTCGAGATGACAATACTGTCAATACATACAGGCCGCAGAATAATGAGTACTACTAGATCCCGGTGGAACTAATTTGATCCATGATATCACGAAAGGCCCTAATAACCAGTGTTTTATCCGTTACATAACCAGTGTTTTATCCGTTACATAACCAGTGTTTTATCCGTTACATAACCAGTGTTTTATCCGTTACATAACCAGTGTTTTATCCGTTACATAACAAGTGTTTTATCCGTTACACAGCCAGTGTTTTATCCGTTACATAACCAGTGTTTTATCCGTTACATAACCAGTGTTTTAACCGTTACACAACCAGTATTTTATCCGTTACATAACCAGTGTTTTATCCGTTACACAGCCAGTGTTTTATCCGTTACACAGCCAGTGTTTTATCCGTTACATAACCAGTGTTTTATCCGTTACATAACCAGTGTTTTATCCGTTACACAACCAGTGTTTTATCCGTTACATAACCAGTGTTTTATCCGTAACATAACCAGTGTTTTATCCGTTAGTAATATAATAGTAGCTGTTTGTAGAGTGAGTTATTGATGGTAACAGAGTCTGTCTGTACATTTCAGGTTAATAACTATGGTATGGCTGGCCAGTACGAGCCCCATTATGATATGAAAACACTTAGAGACATAAAAGTACAGAAACTCGGTCCGAGCGAGGCGGGTAACCGAGTGGCGACACTATTGATTTATCTCCAAGAGCCAGTTGATGGGGGTGCCACCATATTCACCGATGGTGGCGCGCGGTTACTTCCAAAAAAGGTGGGTTAGTTGTGTCTTGCCAGGCCTCCTGGGCCTCAATGCTATTTTTTACAGGTCAATAACTACGGCATGGCCGGACAGTATGAGCCGCACTATGACATGGCTACCCGAGAGGAGAAAGCTTTCCTAGACCACGAAGGAGGGAATCGTGTGGCTACTCTGTTGTTCTACATGGGAAAGACTGACGCTGGTGGGGCGACAGTCTTTATAGATGGTGGAGTGAGGTTACCCCCCACCCAAGTGAGTCAGCAGCGGACACTGCATTTCTTGTGAGGCATTGTCATTTGTCACTTTTATGTTTGAAGATCCTCCCTTCAATTGATTTTCTGCATGTGAAAAAGCGTGTGGTTGAATGGTGCTTTAAAAACTTTATGTGTTTCTAATGTCCATAAATTGGCAGTGTTTATTTGTTTTATTTTTCTTCAGAAAATGAAGTTGTTTTACTCGTTTCTACCCCCGGGGGGTATCTAATGGTGAAAAATTGTGAAATAATTTTACAAATACAATTTTGAAACCTGATTCACCATAAAAATCATTCACCATCACAATTTTTCACCATTTTACACCATTTTAGTTTTTTATTTTCAAAGTATCATTAATGTGTACCAAGAGCTCAGTTTTGATAAACCTTACTCGCCATGTTCACTAACAGTTACCAGTTTTGATGTATCTTACTCGCCATGTTCACTTAAAGTTACCATTTTCAATGTACCTTTCTCACCATGTTCAGTATTCACGAGTTTTGATGAAAAATTATGATTGATAGTTTTGGTGAATCGAGCTTCCGAATTGTAAAACCTAGATTTACTTTAAATTTAATGAAACACATGTTTAATTGTTTCTCTATATCCTCAAAATCTGAGTTAATAATAACCAACAATTTATTTGGGGTGATAACACCAGGTCAAAACTAAAACTAGAAGGCAAATATATTCATCGGAAAAATGGCGAAAAATGGTGAACTTTTACAATTTGGAAACCCGATTCACCATAAAAATCATTCACCATTTTTCACCATTTTACACAATTTTTCACCATTGGATACCCCTACCCCCCCCCCCCCCCCCCCCCCAATGTGGCGGTGTTTTACCCGTTTCTGTGCCCCGGAACATGGAGGTTTCCCCAAAATTTGGAGGTTTTTTACCTGATCTCAAAAAGTGGGGTATTTTAATTATGTCTATCCTTCGGAAAGTGGGGCTTTTTACCTGAACATTATACCCCGAAAAATGGAGTTTTTTACATTTTCCTTTACGGGTTTTCCTACTCCCAGAAAATGGCGGGGGGGGGGGGGGGAGCGGGTGAGGGTACTTGTTTCCAAAGCTCTGCCTCTTTCTTTTAGGGGTTGTTCACATATTATTACGTAATTACTTTTTGGATAATTTTTGCCCCCTCGGCGATCAGTTTTACGCATATCTATTGTGTCAAAATCACAAGTTAGCGAAATCATTTGGAAACCCCCCTCCCCCTCGGCTGATTACGTGATATTATGTGAAGGACCCTTCTTCCTCAGAATGCGGCTGTCTTCTGGTATAACCTGTTGCCAAATGGAGATCCGGACCTTCTCACACGTCACGCTGGGTGCCCTGTCTTGGCAGGTTCGTGTGCAATCATTCATAATGTGAAATCATTCTGTCATTAGCTTTATTTGAATTATATCTTTTAGTCACAAACTAAGGGATGGTGGCAATCTGTGTCGTTAAGAAGATTAAACCGTGAATGGTATCACTCAACAGACTAGCTGTCTTTATATATGTTTAATGTTTATTTACATATTATTTACATATTATTTACATATTATTTACATTTGTATTATCTTTTTCTATTGGCTCATATTATTTCGCTCGTCCAATAATTATCACGTGACTTGGGTTTTTACGGTTTTGCAGTCGAACAAAACGGTTTTAAATGAACTACACCCCAAGCCCTCACCCTAACCACAACCTCAAAGCTAACCACAACCCTAACCACAACCCTGGACCCTAACCTTAAAAAATCGAATTTCCGTTTTACTAGCCTGTCACGTGACCAAAACAGTGTTTTACCCATAACTCCTTAGGGAAACATTTTTACCCTACGTCATGGGGATGATCCAAAAATTCATCGAATGAAGTTAATTTCATACCCTCAGGGCCTTTTCACAATATTATATAAACATTTGGGCGAGCTAAATAGTGAGAGCGTGTTAAATACTATTATACTTACTTAAGACGCTTAGAAGAGATTCCTTGATTCCTCTACTGGGTCATCGAACAGTTCGACTGCCCTTGCAGCATCGCTGCTGCCTTGTTCATACTATATATTTATATGTGTTTTATATTGTTATTATATTAATTTAATTTATATAATATTATATATAATTATAAATATTCATGTGGTTTATCTAATCTTCGGAGACTGGATTATTGGATCAGTATAATTACATTACATTACATAATTACATTACATTAACTGGAAGTACACACTGGCAAAATATTTTTTCAGCTCAGTTGAAAATATAGAATAACATTACATCCTGGTTATGGGCCAGAATACTAAACATACCCACCACAATTGATTATATTTCAGGTACAAAGTGGGTGATGAACAAATGGTTCCACGTCAACGATCAGATATTCACCCGACCGTGCGATCTGCAACAATTCAAACGAGAAAAAGAGGCTAAACTTTACAATGGACAGTACACCACTTGACTTGTTGGTGAATTGGGAGATTTGAGCTAAAAGTTAAAATTCTAGTTGGAGTTTATGTCCAATAATCAATTATTATATTATTATATTAAAATTTCATTTATATTTTGCAGTGAACTGCATTAACTTTCTAGCTATTGTCAATAACCAATTGTAAATATGGTTTTTTTCGTAAGTTTAGGTATTGATGCCCTTGCCGTTTATTTACTTTTTAAAGATTTACTGTATTATATTATTTTTTGTAAAATTTCTATTTTTCTGGCAATTTTGTACAATAGCATGCCCGGTTTTCAATCTTTAACTTCTGTTTCTCTCACATATTACTGGGATTACTTAATATTCATACTAAATTTACACTTACATGTTCCATGTGAATATAACGAAAAGGGGATTTATCTTCATTCTTATTACATTTATACTACTATATTGTATTTTCATTTCAATTTTTATAAAAAAGCAATTTACTTTGGTTTTTGATCTCTTAATTAAAGAATTTGACACTCATAAGCGGGACAACTGCATACAAAAATTAGAAATACACCAAATATCCGGCTTTACTACGCCAGTGTCCTTTAGCTCTGCCTTTAGCTCTGCCTTTAGCTCTGCCTTTAGCTCTGCCTTTTCCCTCCTTTTTTGTAAAATAAGTGGTGTCGGACCTACCAGACGTGATAGTTAACTTTGTATCACCACGCTACACACGAATATTCCTACAGTAGTAGCCCACACAGCAAACCACAGTCCGTCAGGAATATTACAGTGTTTATTGTAGAAGTAAAATAAATTCTTACTTCCTTGACTTGACACTGTACTAGGTAAGGTTTAGCGGTGTGTGTTTTTACAGTGTGTTTGTCGTATGTAATATATCCACGTGGAGTTAGCGGAGGATATTAATTTAATTACCTCTGGGAAATCAAATATTAATACAACTAAGGCCATTAGGGGTCGTTAACATATATTACGTAATCACTTTTTGGCCCATTTTTAACCCCCTCTCCCTCCGTAAACAGTTTTACATATTAAGCTATTGTGTTACTCTAGCGTTAAATCGTTTAGATACCCCTCCCTCCCCCTCTGTGACCACGTAATATGATCACACGTCATCATAAATATTTCTAAAAATTCCGATCTGCTTTCAAGTCTCTAACTTATTGATAAATGGTCCAATCAGTCAAATGTTTCAATTAATAATAAATGACATAATTATGAATCAATTAGTATCTGTAACCAACATTACATGTAGCAAACATCGGCCAATGTATACAATGTTGGTTTACCTGTTGGTGACAGTTATGTATGATATATTAGATATAAATAGTCATGAATTATTATCTATAAATACATTAGTGAGTAGTTATACTGGCATTTTATCAATGTTGTTATCACAATAATCAGAATAGGTATCAGCAATTATGACGCTCGGAAACATCAACAAAGATAGATTTACAAGTTGAGGAAAAAACATCCCCTGTTACGCTTTAAGAGATTTATACACAAAATTGCTAGGAATATTGTAAGAAATAGTAATATTTGGAATACACTCACACAGGGTTGTGAAATACAGCAGGTATCATTTCAGACAGCAGATCATTGTACTGCATTCCATGTTTCACTTTCAATTAATCGTACAGAGATAGATACTATATCACCGGCAGTTTTACCTCCTACTTGTTTGCAAGATAATCATTACTTTGAATTTATATCCGGAATTTTATACCGCCTTTTATCATAATCAAATCAAACTTACGTAATATAAACCGAAAATCTAATATATTTGTACACATATCAGAGTCCAAACTATAATTTATTTACTAATTTCGTATCGACATCAGCTGAATATCACTAAAATTTTAATGCTTGCTAAAAACAATTCCAAATCTCTATCATGAAATCGTCTGCTCACTTATTTTAATTTAACATGCTCAGTTGAGCATGTTATGGCTTTATGGAATGTAAAACAGAGAAGTAGTTGATTAGTTTATGAAGTAGTTTTAGACGCACGTGTCCAGTATTTCAAAAGGAGCCTTAAGACATTTTTCCAGTTTTTATAGCTCGAGCTATAATATTACATATAATCGTATACCACGTGTACACTGTATATGATAACCTGTACACTGTACATGATAACCTCGGCTGTTCATTTGATTTCATAACTATGATCTGTAAACAAGTGATGAAAAACTATTTAGAAGAGATGCACTGGATAAGAAAGTTATCAGAGTTAGAGATTTACTGGATTATTTATCGATTTAACGAAGAATTCGAAACACAGTTTTAAATATTCGTAATATAAAACTCCAAAAGTCAATACATGATCGTTATGTCATCAACGATAAAATATGTAGATCGTATACTAGGTGAAACATTGTGTCCAGTGTCGGTAAAAACGCCTATGTAAACATGGTTTCAGTCAGAGTTATTTTCCTTGGGTTAAGATAATTAATCTATGATGACTTCTTTATGACCTAACTTTTATCAGCCGAATTATGGAAGGAACACTACTACTACTACTACTACTGTGTCGGAACTAAGTCTGATCTACGCCAGATAACCCCCTCCATATATCACTGTCCCGCATCAGAGCATCAGGGTTCGCAGTTCCTCTTTATAGTTTGTCCCAACTTCCTTCAGTAACATAGACAAGTAGCTTTGTCTTGGTCGGCCTTGCTGTGCTCTACCATGCATACTGCATAGGTTCCCATAAGACTAAATCACTGGCAAGTAGCTCAGGATGTCTGAAGGAACAAGATTTTATATCTTATTTTCTTGACTATTTCTGTAAATACACATACTGCTACACGTGAGACGATGTATTCTCAATATTTGTGGCCTGTAGCACCATTTCTTACCCCCATTTGTAGCACACTTTCCTCCATTTATATCTGACACTTTTAGAGTGGTTCAGTGTATATTTTTGGTTAATTACTTGCTCTATCATAGCTGTTAATAGATCAAGTTAGACTAAGGTAGAATATTACTGGTAATTGCAAGATGGCTCATGGTGACCGTGTCACAAAAACCAAGAATGCATCCTCTTACTGATAATACACGTTGGCAATTTTCACTATTCGTAACGCGCCAAATTTATTGTATGATCATGAACGCGCAAAACGAGCTGAACTAAACCATGCATGTGGTCGGTCAGACCCTTGTTGATTTAATTCGTGGTTCGTGGTAAGGCTCATGGTAGTCGGGTGGCGCGCACGAGCGATAAGACTTATGGCTCGGTCGACCGAGCCATAAGTCTTATCGCTCGTGCGCGCCACCCGACTACCATGAGCCTAAAGACGTATTTTGAAAGCTGATTTCGGATCACATGACATGGGGTTAAAATGCTGATGGATAATCACTCTATGCCCGCTCGTTATAACAGACTATTACTTTGGAATTTGACTCGTTCTCTAGGTAGCTCTGGTACCTAATGTTCAATGTTAATAGAGGTCCTTCTAGAAAAATCTCGAAACGCTCGAGGGTCCTTAATTATTATACATTCGAACGTAGATATTTTTCTAGAAGAGTCCTAGGAATAGGAAGAACTCAGGTCATATTTTTAACTAAATAAAATAGTTAACTAAATAAAAAGTAAAAGATATTTTCAATATAAAGAAAACATTTCATTTTGAGAAAAATCATTCGCTGAACAATCTTAAATGGAACCTGCCAATCCAAAACAAAAGCGTCCACCAAGGAAAAGATCAAAAATAACAGCACATATCTAACATTTGAAGAGAGGCTGAGATAAAATGAGGCTGCAATTAAATGAGAAATTTGATTTAGAACAAAAATAAAATCTTCGTCATGACATAAAAGCGAGTAAATATAATAAAAAAGAATAAAATGTATAAATTAAGTGCACATATTTGTGAAGTAACTGGCTGATGGACGCTTTAAGTTTAACTTTCTGCGTTTGAAGCTCAGGTTCAGGATCTCATCATGTCGAGAGAAGGCCCGCATTCCTCCTCCTCACCCTCCTCGCTGTCTCCCTCCTTCTCTTTCTCATCTCTCATCTCTACATCCTCAACCGGTTTACTGTTCACACCTGCATCGTTATCAGGTATCTCCTCCACTGCCTCAGTTTCGTCCTTCTCTCCCGCTTCCTTGTTGGAGTCTACCTCGGTCTCTTGAATTCCAGCAATATCTTCAGCTGGTTGATCCTGCTCAGTCTGGGTCGTCTCCATTTCAGCGGACTGCTCAGTTGCTGCTGCTGCCTCACTCGACTGCTCTTCTGTTTCTTCCTCCTCATCTGGAAATGTATTTGTTTAACCGATACTTCATTATTGCCCAAAAGAGACCTAGAGGCTCTACAAAATTCAGGTATCTGTATTAATGGCGATTTTCTGATATTCCAGGCTGAAAATTAATATACTATTGATTAGTATAAATTAATTTGTTTAACTAAGTATTGTTTGGTTATTGCTGTGATATAAAACACATCGATAGTGCTACTTACATTTGACGTGAGGAAAGGGCTGGAACTCGTCCCTTACATCCTGGAAGTTAGAGGGCAGTATCCGGATTGGATGGACAACATCCTCGTTATCACTATTCTCGCTATCATCCCGGTCTTCTGCTGTACCAACGTCGTCTATTGCCAGGAACTGAGGAGACAATATTTTTAGGCAACAGTTAAAAGAGGGTTGTTACCTAAAAGAAACAAAAACAATGAAAACTAAAATAATCTAAAGTGATATTCAGTGTAGCTGAAGTTAAGGATTGTACTATAAGATAATGGCATTATCGTATACAATATTGCTGTAAAAACGGTGAACAAGAAATAAGCTGCTAGAAGCAGATCCTTACCGGCTGAGCAAGAGTTTCTTCCAGGTTCTTCTTCTTCTTTTCAGGATCTTCCTCAATCGGTGCATCTATCGTTTTAGCTTCCTTAGGTGTCTAGAGAGATATTCTTGTGAATTTCATGAGGTCTTAAAATTAAGTTCAAAGTAATAACAAGGCGAAGAATTTCTAATTTCAAAAACTTTGACTATCCCATACAACCCTTGTAAAAGCTAAAATCTGTGATAGTGGAGACAGGATAGCGAGCAGTTTGGTCATTATTCTTAACTTCTTTTTGATTACTTAACTTAATAATCTAATTAAACTAATTTCGTAGCCGATTATTATTCATACCTGGAATCTATGAGCAGCAGATTCAACAGCTTCTTTTTGCTTGTTAAGCTCATTCTGCTCCTTCGTCAACTTTTCAATTACTTGGTAGTAGTAATCGTACACAAACTTGCTCATCTCCGGCATATCCTTGATGACCTTAGCAGAAGGTGGCAAGTCTCCAGTCTTCCTGTTAACAAGGTTAAGATCGTTAAAATTCACAGATTTTAAAGAGAATATTATATTTGGGTCACCACCTAAAAATTAGGCATCGAAAAGTAGCCCTTCGGTTTAAATTAAAAACTACATCATATTTCATACTATCATTCACAGATATCAATATCCCCTTTCGACAGCAGAAACACGCGGGTCTCCAGGTATACCTGTTTGTGGGGAACCTCTCGTCAGGATATATGTGGAGCTCTGTGGGATGCTTCAGGAGCTGTTTGAAGGCGGGGGTCAACTCGTAGCAGTTAGCAAATATACCTGGGGGAGTCGTATTGTTAACTTACAGAAAGGGGGGGGGGGGTCAACCTCATTTTACCTCATGAGGCCAGCCAAAAAAGGCAAAATTGGGATGAGGTAAAATGAGGTAAAATGAGGTAAATAAATCTAGTTTTCTAAGCCTTTTTTTAGAGACAAAAAAGGTTTATTCGAAGTCATTATACTATAATTCGAGGCTGTGCGTGGTCTCCCATGATATTTAATGGTTTATTAGGGGTGATGTGGTCCCTGGGAAGGGGCATTCCCAGTTTAACCTACTTACTCTCCAAACTTGGGGTAAATAAAACTTCGCATCATAATTATTATTTATGAAAAGAAAATTGAACATTTCAATTTCCATGATCCATTAGGAAATTGTTAATAGCACTTGCTAAGTTTTGTAAAGGAATTAGCAATAACTTTAGTGTCACTTTGGCAGTTGTCAATTTATGGGGATATTTCCGCATTGCATGACATGAACCATTTAAATAATATCTTAGTTTGATATTGCGATTATCGAGTCACTCTGAAACAAATTGTGTCTAACTAGACCAAATGTAAACAACAGTTGTGCATGGAACTGGATTGGATATCTACATGAATTTAGTCGAAATTGCATAGTGAAAGGTAATTTCATAATAAATTACTCATATAAACTCATACTTCATACAATTCTAAGTTCTTATGTACATGTTCAATGTTCATGATTCGCTGTAGAATAAAAGGCGGTTCGGGGGCGGTTCACAAAACCACTTTTCGTTTAAATAATTAGATATCACCTCTAATTAGTTGCTCTACAGGATCAGGAACAACCAAACAATTTTTTATGTCTACGGTTTCGTATAATACTGACTTGGGCCACGCCCATATTTTTCACCAATTTTTAACAGGTAAAATTATCTAAATCGTCAATTTAGTCACGAAGGAGTTTGGAAGGAGTTCTAAATGTGTGCTCCTCTAATATAAACAGTAGCAAATGGTTAACTTTAGTCGAGGTTTCAGGTCTCTACAATGTCGGGAAGTTCCTGCAGGAATTTGCGCATTGCGCTGAAGCGCAAGATTCACTGCGCCAAAAGCGAAGGTCGTAGAGACATGAGACCTTGACTAAAGTTAACCATTTCATACCATTGCAATCAGAGTATGCCACTTTCAGAGTCCTGAACACACTCCTACAGCTCTTAATCGTCAATTATATGAATTTTACCTGTTAAAATATACCATCTTTAACTGATATCAATTTAGTTTAAAACACTGTTAGTTTTAAAAAAGAACATATTACTTCACACCAAACTAACGCACAATATGATAATATAAAAAAGGAAGATTTTCCTTGGATTCCGAATTCAACTTTGATTATATCCTGGCACTGATTATCATTTCTCGATTGTTCTCCACTTTCCAATGCAGTCAGCAAGTTCCAATTTAGGTAGACTAGGTTTTCGAATCTTCATATTATGTTCAGAAGCAGGCCAGAAGGGGTTGTTACCAGAGGAATATCTTCTTGGAACAAGGAATTAATGAGGTCTTCATTTATTTCTTCATAACTCGTCACTGACAGTCCGGACAGGATGAGCATTGACGAGATCCACTGATTACTTCATAGCTCGTCATTGATAGGATCAGTATTAAATGAGGTCGAATGATTACTTCATAGCTCGTCACTAACTGGATCAGCATAACATGACTAACAACTAACGAGGTCCAGTGATCTGAGATCTCTTGCTGATACGTCAAAACAAGATCAGTAAATAGCTATAAATATCGAAAAAAATTAGCTTAGAAATTACAGAGTACAAATGCCTTCTTCACAACTAACTCTTTGGCCTCATCTTTTTAAATCACTCATTCCCTCTGAAACAAGATAATGCTTAGGACTAGGACGAACTTAGTTAACTTCTTGTATAATTCGGTAAGAGGAAGATTCCTTAGTAAGCTAACATTCTTTTGTAGGATGTTACCACTTATCATATCTGTTATCCAGCATAATCCCACAACTAGACCCTCTTATTCTGGAGTCTTGACAATGACAGCAGCAATGTACACTATTTTGATGGTCCAGGTCTCCAAGAAAACCTTCCTCTTTATATTCTCATATTGTGTGTTAGTTTGGTGTGAAGTATTATTTTCTTTTTTAAAACTAACAGTGTTAAACTAAATTGATATCAGTAAAAGATGATATATTTTAACAGGTAAAATTCATACAATTGACGATTAAGAGATATTGGAGTGTGTTCAGGACTCTGAAAGTGGCATACTCTTATAGCAATGGTATGAAATGGTTAACTTTAGTCAAGGTCTCATGTCTCTACGACCTTCGCTTTTGGCGCTGTGAATCTTGCGCTTCAGCGCAATGCGCAAATTCCTGCAGGAACTTTCCGACATTGTAGAGACCTGAGACCTCGACTAAAGTTAACCATTTCCTACTGTTTATATTAGAGGAGCACACATTTAGAACTCCTCCCATACTCCTTCGTGACTAAATTGACGATTTAGAGAATTTTACCTGTTAAAAATTTTTGCCGAGATTTACCTCATTTTACCTCATGAGGCCAGCCAAAAAAGGCAAAATTGGGATGAGGTTAAATGAGGTAAAATGAGGTTGACCCCCCCCCCCCAGAAAGTTATCAAAATCGCTGTTCTTAAACCATGCTAAATAACCGAGGATAAAGCCGATTCAAATGAAAATATTATATTTCTGAATATTGGATTTCAGATATTAATTCCTATGGAATTAAACATGCCGGGTAGTAAGGTTTGGATCTCGGGGTCGAATAAGATGTCTCGGAATCTGATGTCAGGTAATCAGGCTACATGTCTGTGAATGAAATTGTGTGTCACCCCGTTAGACGTTACTATGCAACTTACTATTTCTCCCCCAATTTGCACGTTCGTTCACTGAACAAACGTACAGAAATCTCTGACAATCTGATCGAAGCATCGAGAAGAATAATTTTCCGAATTAAATTTACAGGGATTGTCCACATGATAGTTTGAAATTTAGAAAGAGCAAATGTGTCTACGATACGACTTACAAAGCTGGTAGTTCAAAAGAAAAGTAAGGCTTTTATAAATTTACAATAGGTTCAAAAATAACAAAATATCTTCTATGTGGGACAACTCATCCAGTAGAGGCTTAATGGATCTTTAATTTGTAATTGGCTGGCTAAGCTAGGGACGCTGTAATAGGCGAGATTTGATCACGTGATGATGAAAAGTAGAAACCTTGCGACAAACGGCTATTATAAAGGCTGTTTTATGAGCGCAGTTCAGTCCAATCACTCATTATTTTGTTAGTTAGAAAGCTTCGATAGTTTACAGAAACATACAAGATTTTCCTTTTCTTAAAGACGGAATCGTCGGAGAATGCTTTCTTTCTACTTTCTTCTCTTTGCGGTGGAGTTAACTGCTGACGAAGGTAAACAAATATTGCACTTTTCATGGCCCACCACATGATTTTAATATCTAGTTAGTTGCAACTTGCAGAGAACAACTTTCCAACGAATTTAATGAGAAGTGTATACCTATTATAGGTATACCCTTCTCATTAAATTCGTTGGAAAATTTTTCTCTGTAATTACCCTACCCTACTCTAGTGTGTTATAGATTACGCACATTTTCAATGAATTTGAACGTTTGTCAAACAAATTGTCAAATACATACGAAAAATATAATTTCTCAATGCTGATCACATTTTGATATTAAAATTTGGTAGGCCTATAATTTATAATATTTTTCAAACAGGCTGGATACCAGTAAAACGGGTAACCATGACAGAATTTGATCTGGAGAAGTGTTCTCTTGAAATAAAGACGAGCAGTATGGCGGGGAATCGAAATAAGGTAGATGTACGGTTCTACAGTTCACAAGGAGACCTAGCAGGCGGAATCTCTTTCGACTTCCTCTCTAGAGCGTTGTATTCTATCCTTAAATGCAAATCATGGACTGACTTTCCAACTATCCTCCCCTTTGCTGAACACAAGGTATGGAGGATAACCCTAACTAGAACCTTAGGTATCAGAATAGTGGTGAACTGTAATGACAAAGAGGTGCTCAACATCCCGATATCTGACTCAACGTGTATTGGCTCGACTTGGAGTTGGATCAAGCAAGGAGCAAAGATACGGTTTTCCCACTCAGACAAGTCATCAGAGAACTACAGATGCAAAGCTAAGCCTCAATTAGCAGGTGACTTATTTGAGTAGAAATTATGATTATTGGGATTATTGAACTACTTTAAACGTAGCCCTAATACATTACCTTTACAATTTGTCAAGAGTTCAGAAAAGCAAGCTAAGGGCGTTTGCTTTTTATGAACTACTTTTCAAATTTCGTTTTTGACTAATAAAAAATGTTAGTTAGCATTTTGTGAAGATGTAAAACACTGTTACAAGCACTGCAATAAATGATAACAAGACAAAACCCAAATCAGGTGACTTAGCCAGGTAATATAAGCTCTCCTTGCTGATCTCTTTTTACCTTGATCATTTTCAAGATGTTTATATCATGTATGGTATGTACTATGTTTTTGTTACGACATAATCATGATAATATATTTCTTGTATTGGTTGCGGTCTGCGGAGAAGTCTCCCTTCCGTTCAGTTGAATTTCAGGTAAAACGCAGGTAAAACTTCTCATTTCACGTAGATTACATCTGTTCAATAATTACTCATGCTAGCTGGTATTAGAAAATATTCTGGATAATTACGGTAGCTTGTGTGACAGTAAACCTATTGTTACTGGAAAGTAGATAAATATTGTCAGATCGAAGTATACTACATTAGTCCCATTAGTGAAATTAGATTAATATAAGGAAACGCATGAAATTTTGGAAAATTAGAAGGGGCAGACTTTTCTGGATATAATTTTTTTCTCCATGAAGATTGAAGACGTAATGGAAATGCAATGTGAGATGTAACATCTGCTACTCCTGAAACTTCTCCCTTTCTCATGGGAATAACAGAAGTCATCATTGACAAGTAAGTTACAATCACACTATAATGATCTACTATATTTCATTTCTTAATGTCAACCGCGGTTTTCAGTTGAACCAACCAATATATTCATGCTGCCGAAAACGTCTTACTTCAACCTATTGTAATATATATATTCTGAAGTTAACATTATCAATCTCACAGGTACGGTTAGACATGAGTGAAGACGATGCAGATATTGCCATCAGAGTCAACTCAAGACTACTTTCTATAAGTTAAGTTGACATTGGATATTACAATTATTCGAGCACAATGTTATATCAATAATAATTTCTGCGACCATTGTCTAATTTAAGTCTTGGCATGATATATGACTTGCAGCGGAAAAATAAACCAACAAAACCCCCCCTTCAGTAAAGTCAAACGGAATAAACTCAAACAATTAGCTTTTGCAGCACTCTCAGCCAGTAAATGAGATCTATCAGGTTGGTAAAAACGGTGCATTAACTCATGATGACTCAAGCTGGACTTATTCAACAAGATGCAATCATTATTTGCATGTTTAATGAGACAGTATTTAATGTTTTCGGAACCTGGTTTATACTAGTTAGAACATTATTAAACCAGAAACCAGGGACAAAATCTTGAACTGTAGAAATAAAAAGGCGAACCGTTCATCAAGCATTATGATACGCAATGCATTGGAAATGTGAAATTTGACAATCCAGTATACTAGTATAACATTGTATAACGACACTCAATTACAGGACGGAAATCGAGAAAGCTCATGAGTGATAATTTGAAAACGCAACGATTACCCAACGTAATGAAAAGTTCAGTAAATTGTTGAGTGGACAGATAAAATATGTACGTATGGGACAATGTCCATTGAACATTGGACGGTTTTTATATTTTTCCTGTATTGATTGCCTGAATTTAAATTTAACTAGATTTTTCGGAAATGATAATGTATGTGACATCTAAATCCTTTTGAAATAACATTTTAGAGCATTTATTTTCCTACAATGATTGCAGGAACTTATTTATCTTTTGGCCATGATATAAAAAACTGGCTGTTACAGCATAAGAAAGTTATTCGTTAGATACAAAAATATTTTTTATATATTTGAGGTCTCGTCAAAAATGTTAACGAGAGTTAAAGTGACATTCAAATTATCCTTTACAATTTCATAACAATTTCATGTAAATTGCTATGACTATACACACATTGAAAGCACTTGTTTTTAGAAATTGTATTAATGACCACTGTCGGAAAATGCATCATCATTAGCCATGTGAATTCTAGTTCACATAAAATACAAAATTTCCAATAGTAAGACAGCACTGACCGACTCTAGCGAAGACGTAGAGTCCCAGTCGTGCACGTGACATAGCCACGATGAGCCGTCTGACGTCACGAAGATGACCCACAGTCTTTGTCCTGACTAGGGAGAGCAGGATGTAGTTGTTCTGACTTCCCTGAAAAGTTTGGTTTTAGTTAAACTGTTTTAGGAGCCTTCTTTTTCTTCCTCAATTCTTTAATTTCATACTGGGTCACACAGGGGATCGATAAAATCATCAACAATAACTTCCACTATATAGGGGGGGGTCCAAGGGGAACTTTGGGGAGTTTTGGGGAACTTTTTTTTGGGGAACTTCAGGAAACCTGGGGGACTTTCCCAAAGTTCCCCAAAAAATTATCAATGAAACAAATAATTTTGGGGAATTTTGGGGAACTTTTTTTTGGGGAACTTCAGAAAGTTCCCCAAAATTCCCCAAAGTTCCCCAAAAAAATTATCATGCCAAAAAAATTATCATGCTGCAAGTATCAACAAGTAAGTTAAGATTATACCTTATAATAACATACATGTTAACATTAATGGGTATTAATGTATATTAGAGAAATTTTGAATAATTTTGAATAATTTTGAATAATTTTGAATAATTTTGAATATTTTTGAATAATTTTGAATAATTTTGGGGAATTTTGGGGAACTTTGGGGAGTTTTGGGGAACTTTTTTTTGGGGAACTTCAGAAATCTTGGGGGACTTTCCCAAAGTTCCCCAAAGTTCCCCTTGGACCCCCCCCTATATACACATAATAAAACCAAAGATGTTTATAATCAGTAATACGACTCCTACTATACTACTACTCCTAGCAGCGACCATCAAACCTGATATCTGTCGACAGTAGTGATGGTTTTAGGGAAACCAAACACGGGGTTATCCCCACACCTCTGTTTCACAACATCTCTGATAAGGTGTTTCTGTCCGTTGTAGGTTGTCAGTATAGTGATTTCCTCACTCTTGTAGCCTGTGAAAATGGATAGCTGTGTAGCGGAAAACTGCTCAATGTTATCTATTTTAAAAATTTAAATTTAAACTACTATACTAGTACTGAGTGGAGTTGGGTTAGAAACATATAAGAGACACGATGATTTAACTTGTAGAAGCTAAATCAGTATAGTGATCTCCTCGCTCTTGTAACCTGTGAAAATGGATGTCGGGATTAGGGACAGTACATGAAGTCCAATGTGAAGTACGTGTAGTACACCGGGATGTTGTGTAGTGGAAAACTGTTTAATGTTATGGGACAATTAGTTAAATCTTTAAAATTTAAACTACTATACTAGTGAACAATTGTTAAAGTTGCCTACCTAAGAGTCGCATGTACATGTAGACAGCAACAACATATTCAGCTTCACCAAGGTTCTGATAGAAGTAAGGGTTTGGTTCTGACTCTCCGACACCGTTGAAATCTTCAACGTTTATAAGCTGAGGTGAGGAGTCAGTTGTTCACCTTTTAAAATGTGTCACAAGTTGAATTTACAAATTCTTTAAAATCCACTAAGTGTCTTACTACACCTAAACTGCTAAAATGGGCTTTTATGGGTTAACGTTTGAACACGTAATCTAAGAATGACGAAATGTAACAAACGTTATACAATCTCCAAACATAAAGATGCACTCAGACTGACCTGATAGTCGAAAGAGAGACCGGGATTGCTGGTAAGGTACTCGGAACTGTTGAGAACATGCGGCAAGTTGCCAAGTTTCTTGTAGCGCCAGTTGTACAGGTTAGCTAGTGAGGCCCGGGATCTTCCTTGTTTGTCTAGCTCTATTGCTGGTACTCCTGGAGAGGGTTGTTTTACTTTAAACACGCTCGGCTTGTGGTCAACACGACATGAAACAAACAAATAGCACGTTTAACTGTTTAACCAAAGAGATGTTGTTTTACAGGGTGGCCCATAAAACACTACCCATCCTTATCTACAGCGACCTGTAACAATTTTAAGAGATAAGGATGGGTAGTGTTTTATGGGCCACCCTGTATAATAACAAATTAATCCTACTACTGTCACGTTTACTATGGGATATATTATATTCAATTAAACTCAGTATAGTACCCTATAGGAGACCTACCTAGTCGAATAAAGCGAGTGAAGAGGCTCTGTAGGAGACCTACCTAGTCGAATAAAGCGAGTGAAGAGGCTCTGTATAATACCCTATAGGAGACCTACCTAGTCTAATAAAGCGAGTGAAGAGGCTCTGTATAATACCCTATAGGAGACCTACCTAGTCGAATAAAGCGGGTGAAGAGGCTCTGTTCCATATTACCCTATAGGAGACCTACCTAGTCGAATAAAGCGAGTGAAGAGGCTCTGTATAATACCCTATAGGAGACCTACCTAGTCTAATAAAGCGAGTGAAGAGGCTCTGTATAATACCCTATAGGAGACCTACCTAGTCGAATAAAGCGGGTGAAGAGGCTCTGTTCCATATTACCCTATAGGAGACCTACCTAGTCGAATAAAGCGGGTGAAGAGGCTCTGTATAATACCCTATAGGAGACCTACCTAGTCGAATAAAGCGGGTGAAGAGGCTCTGTTCCATATTACCCTATAGGAGACCTACCTAGTCTAATAAAGCGAGTGAAGAGGCTCTGTATAATACCCTATAGGAGACCTACCTAGTCGAATAAAGCGGGTGAAGAGACCTACCTAGTCGAATAAAGCGAGTGAAGAGGCTCTGTTCCATATTACCCTATAGGAGACCTACCTAGTCGAATAAAGCGAGTGAAGAGGCTCTGTATAATACCCTAATATTGGAGACCTACCTAGTCGAATAAAGCGAGTGAAGAGGCTCTGTTCCATATTACCCTATAGGAGACCTACCTAGTCTAATAAAGCGAGTGAAGAGGCTCTGTATAATACCCTATAGGAGACCTACCTAGTCGAATAAAGCGGGTGAAGAGGCTCTGTTCCATATTACCCTATAGGAGACCTACCTAGTCTAATAAAGCGAGTGAAGAGGCTCTGTATAATACCCTATAGGAGACCTACCTAGTCGAATAAAGCGGGTGAAGAGACCTACCTAGTCGAATAAAGCGAGTGAAGAGGCTCTGTTCCATATTGTTAATCTCAGTATAATACCCTATAGGAGACCTACCTAGTCGAATAAAGCGAGTGAAGAGGCTCTGTTCCATATTGTTAATCTCAGTATAATACCCTATAGGAGACCTACCTAGTCGAATAAAGCGAGTGAAGAGGCTCTGTTCTGAGGAGACCTACCTAAGGCCCCTTCCAGCCATTGCCACTGCGAATTTAACCTAAAACCTGCCCAGTTAATAGCGAAGACTGCGAAATTACCACTCCTGCCTAGTAATCTAATTTACCCTGTCCAGATCAGCAGTATATTACACTAAATCCGCAGGTTTTCTCTTAATTTTTTATGTCAAAACCTGCCTAATTAACTAGTGATCCTGCATCAACAGCGCAGGTATTTGTTATTTGGCAGGTTTTCTATTAACTTGGCAGGATTTGCTATAAAATTATTAATCCTTTCCGGATGGATTACGGCAGTGATAAAGTTAAATCGGCAGGTTTTCCATTAACTTGGCAGGATTTTTTATAAAATTATCAATCCTTGCCGGATAGATTACGGCAGTGATAAAGTTAAATCGGCAGGTTTTCCATTAACTTTGCAGGATTTGTTATAAAATTATCAATCCATGCCAAATAGATTATAATGCTATAATCTTATTATGGCAGCGTTAAATTTATAAATTGGCAGGTTTCTTTTATCTTTCTTTTAAGTTCTTAAGTTATTTGGAATTTTGCTTATTTGGCACCAAAACTAAATAAAACCGAGTTGATTAGCGCAGTCAAGAAATTGGCCGGAGTTGATAAAAAGCTGACAACCATGGCACTGAATCTCCAAATGAGAGGTATAGTACGCTATATACTTATATAGTACGGTACCGCAACAATTGACCCCCTCCCCCCCCCCCCCCCCTCCGACTAATGACCCCCTGATGCAATCTACCCCCGACAATTGACCCCCCATGTAATTACACTGGGGTCAATTCAGGGTTAGGGTAAGGGTTAGGGTCAGGGTTAGGGTCAGGGTCAGGGTTAGGGTCAGGGTTAGGGTCAGGGTTAGGGTCAGGGTCAGGGTCAGGGTCAGGGTCAGGGTCAGGGTCAGGGTCAGGGTCAGGGTCAGGGTCAGGGTCAGGGTTAGGGTTAGGGTCAGGGTCAGGGTTAGGGTTACTGGGTAACACGACTCCTGTCAGCGACATCTGTCCGACAGCGACATCTGTCCGACTCAGGGTACCAGAAAAAACGACATTTGTCCGAAATTGTGATCTGATTTCAATACAACACATTTCCAATTAGAGACGTGATCTGAACTGTTAAATTGAATACGTAACATTGCCAATTTGAGATATGATCTGAGCCATAGTGTACTACTAGTTTATTTTCGACCTAGGCAGGCAGGCATGAAGCAACTGCGTTGTGAATGGCGAGCTCGTAGTCCATGAGAATGTATTGTGGTAGGTAGCCCCAAGGCCTCAGAAGGCCAGGTGTCTATCTCCTCGAACATGTTGCGGTAGAGGGTCGTCGATTTTCCAGGAATGAGTCCTTAGAAGAGGGGGAGGTGCCAGCCGTCAGGGAAGAGTCCGTGGACTGTGAAGAGCTGATGGAAGAGATTAGGTGCGGATTTGAAGGTACCGTTGGGCGTTGACTACGCAATGCTCCGCGTCCACCATATGATCTGCGTTCTTAGGAGTCCCCCAAAGGAATGATCGACGAGTCTGTTCGTCCCATCCAGAGTCCCAGAGCATCATTGGACTGTTGTCGGTAGAGAGGATTTAGTTTGCAGGAATGGATAGCGTTTCCAGATCTCTCGGGTCTGTTTGCTGCAGATCTGGGTCTGTTTACTGAAGATTGGTTGCCATTGTGGATTGCGATAACTGATCTCCATACGGCTGCTATCCTATATGTACTCATGTAGGCTGTGTCCTGTGATGTGATCGACAGCTTGTTAGTGTACGGCTAGCACAATCCTGTCCTTAAATAGTCAATCACGTATCGATGGATCAGATCTCAATGGATCAAATCAGCATTCGAACAATGGGAGCAACGTCACGAAATTACCCGTGAGTTTGTGAAATACGAATGTGAACCGAAATTACAATATGATCCGAAATTCGGACAGATGTCGCCAAAAACGACTCCTGTCCGACAGCGAAATCTGTCCGAAATCCCCAATTCGGCTGTCGGACAGATGTCGCTGTCGGACAGATGTCGCCCAATCGGGTTACTGTTAGGGTTAGTATAATAAATATATTTGTTTGGTCAATTGTCGGGGGGGGGGGGGGGGGGGGGGGTCAATTTTCAAGTATTATATCACTTGCACCGTTTAGCTCCACGTGGTTTCTTAAGCTTAAATACTTAACTGTCCTGTCAAGATAAAGTAAATCACTATCACCTCTCATTCTTAATAAGTTAGTAAGCAAGCATCTGATCATTTTAAAACAGTCACCTCCCAATTTAGCAAGTTCTTACATCTATATTACAGTCTACACCCTTCAATAATGAGATAATATGTTTGGCCGGTAGAGGGTCCGCAGTAGTCCCATTACAGCATTACCTCATTACCTTAGCATTGCTGTACAGTGTACAACTACTATAAGAGTATAAGATATACAATATACATCCTTCACCAAAACTGGTTTGTCCGCTTTCTATTACTAATTTTCCGCTGAAAGTGCCACATCAGTGATCAATTAATATTGGTAAATAGCAATAATTTGAGTTATAGGTTGACCTCCCACTTAGAGCATATGTGGGAGGTCAACCTATAAATTATAGTACGAGCTATTTCCAATTCGTGAATACGAATTTCGATTAAGGTCCAACTTATTAAGTGTCACTTTAACGTGTGACAAATTTCCGATCAAATATCTCATAATCTGAAAATAACTGCATATTTAGAACTATTATATTAATTGTAATTGAAGATTCTTTCAGAATCACTTCATTCACTAAATCTTACAATGTGAACAATGAACAGGTAGAGGCACTGCAACTGAAAAAGTGCTGTCCTCACTACTTAAGAACATAGCAATCTAATCTAAAAATGGCAACCTAAGAACTGAAGTTAAGCAAACAGTTATTTTCCAATAATCGGTTTTTATATTGTACTTTTATATTCAAACTTATCATAGACCCCGTGTTGGTAACAGTGGATAATATGCAGTGGCGAAACGTACCTAAGAGGCCGCAGCTGCACCCCCCCCCATCCCCTTCCGCATAGCAGGGGTTGCCGGAGTGTCGGGCGGTCGTTTCGCCACTGACTAGTGACTGCATGTATAAAAGTATAAACTATAGAGCCATGTAGGCATGTAGCATTCTGTACTTCTGTAGCTTTGCACAAACCAAGTCTCAGTCCTACACCCTACCTAGTAATAAGGTTATACGATCATTACAGTATTCCACATTGTACACTCAAATTATCCAAAACCCCTGCCAATATAGGTTTAATCACGCCACAAGTTGATTCAAATTATCTCAACTTACGCAGGATTTGCGTTAAATCTGCAGCATTCGACTTTATATTTAACGGAAAACCTGCCAAAATAGAGCAAACCTGCCGAGAGTAGGTGAAAGGTGAGGCAGGTTTTGTGTTAATTTTGCAGGCTTTTCTATAAATCAACAACTCGATTAAATAATTACGTGAGATAAATCTCTGCACGAATACGATAAATAGGCAGGTTTTCGGTTAATTTTGCAGGAATCATTTTAAGACTTCAAATTGATTATCAGTCTTAATGTAAAACCTGCCAAATTAGGTGGCAGGTGGCAATGGCTGGAAGGGGCCTTACCTAGTCGAATAAAGCGAGTGAAGAGGCTCTGTTCTGAAGAGACCTACCTAGTCTAATAAAGCGAGTGAAGAGACCTACCTAGTCGAATAAAGCGAGTGAAGAGGCTCTGTTCCATAATACCCTATAGGAGACCTACCTAGTCGAATAAAGCGAGTGAAGAGGCTCTGTTCCATATTGCTGTACTTCTGAAAGGCCATGTTCTTGATAACTGGGGGCAGCTGGTGATGATCCCCGATCAGGATAACTCGTTTCAACCTGGACGAATAAATTAGTATTCAAGGAGCTGTCATGGACGGAATTTTTACTCTGTTCAATGTATGTTGGTTATAACAGTATCTGAGAAAAAAAAAGTCAGTTCAAATGTCTGCCAGTCACACTGCCCCCTTACCTGTTGTGCCCATCCTCAGGCTCTTGTAGTAGGAGGGGGATGAAGGTTTCTATCTCCAGGATCTGAGCTGATTCCTCCATCAGTATGTTGTCGTATCTGCAATTTATGGTTTTAATTAAATGTGTATTTTTAAAACCTGATTTGGTAAAAATTAACTGGTACAACTGACCTGAAACTAAATTAGTAACTGTAAATATGTTGATACTTGATGTTCCTAGAAATAAGTTTGACCTGAATCCGAGTTTAACCAAGTTCCTCCTGGTGAGAGCAGCGTGAGTACAGGTCATAGCAATTATTTTAGCTTCCTTGACCAGCAGGTAGTTCGCTCTGTCCAGACCACTTCTCATTAGCTCAAACGCTCTGACGGGGAGATAATTAATTGCTAGTTAATTAGATATAATTAATTGTTAGTTAATTAGATATAATTATTTACTCACTCATCCAGGAAACCTGACATATTTAGAGATTTTGTGACGAGAAAACGTTAGTTAACAAGATTCTAATATCAATTATAATTGAAGGGGCTTCATAATTGCCAACGATATCGGAAATGTCAAAAAATTTAACTCATTACCCAACATTAAATAAGTTTTACCTGAACTCTTCTAGTTGGTCGAATATTTTTTGGATGTGTCTATAACAACCCTCTGCTTGATCCAGATCTTCTACATAGGAATCTCCTAAAATTTAAGGAATTTAAGGAATCTTCTAACATTAAACCAAAATAACTTATTTTTCTGATTAAACAGGTTCCTTATTTTGAAAATAAGGAACCTGTTAATCAGAAAAATTAATAATTTGATCTCGCATGATACCTGGTTTATCAAAAAAGTTCAAATAAGGATTCTGTAAGTCCTATAATCTATAATATGTGCTATTTCAAGTTTAGTATAGCAAAATTAAAATGGTAAAGTGAGTGGTAAAGTAAGCGGTAAAGTAAGCGGTAAAGTAAAGTGAAGTAAAGTAAAGTAAAGTAAAGTAAAGTAAAGTAAAGTAAAGTAAAGTAAAGTAAAGTAAAGTAAAGTAAAGTGAAGTAAAGTAAAGTAAAGTAAAGTAAAGTAAAGTAAAGTAAAGTAAAGTAAAGTAAAGTAAAGTAAAGTAAAGTAAAGTAAAGTCAAGTAAAGTAAAGTAAAGTAAAGTAAAGTAAAGTAAAGTAAAGTAAAGTAAAGTAAAGTAAAGTAAAGTAAAGTAAAGTAAAGTAAAGTAAAGTAAAGTAAAGTAAAGTAACACTTTCCATGCCTTTGAAGATGGGCTGAGGAGCGTTGCTAAAGTAAACATGGAAAGGAAACAGCTCTTTGACATCACAAGCCTCGTTTCCCTCCTCACTTCCGCTTTTCTGCTTCAGTCTTGTCATGAACTCATCCCATCTACTCTTTACCTGTTTTTCACTCAATTATATTATAATCGATATTCATTTTTGCAATTATATCCAAAAGTGAACGTTCGGATATATTTGACTGTACCAACTTGATTTTGAACGGTAAAAATGCCTGAAAATTAAATTCTCCATAAAAAAGGTTGTATTATATTATACCATTGTCGTGTATACAACTGGTATAATACAACCTGTGAACGCAAACGACACCACATGACTAACTAGGAGAATTACCTGATAAAGGTTAAAGTACCCGGCCGTTTCACAAGTGTACGTCACGTCACCTTGTACCCCCAAACTCTTCTGGAGTCTTCCCACCTCGTTCAGTAACTCCAACCTGGCACGTGTCAGACAAATTACAAACTAGCCGTTTTAAATTTACAAGTCATTTGGTTAAAACGTTTGTTAACATTACATGTAATTAATTTACAAGTCATTTGGTTACAAATTTTGATTACATGTAATAAATTAACTGACTTATTTGTGTGTTGCGGGCAACACTGTTGCCCTTCGTGCCCGAATGTTCTTGAATAAGCCTATAGTGTATAGTATACACTGTATACACTGTATACGGTCTATGTTATCATCTGGTTTTATATTAAACTATCACCCCTAATCTAACCAAATAATAAACTCGGTTCACAATTCCACTAACCTATGTGCTAGGATGTAGTTAACTCTGCCATACTTGCTGAAATCCTTGTCCGTCCCCAAACCTTCTTCTCCGTGACCCAACCTTGAATTAAGTGATCAATAAATTATTACTTGGGTAAAGATATAAATAAATATATATATATAAATTATTATAAAACAGGATCTTACCGACAAAAATGATTCTTAAAAATACCTTAATGCGGTAAACTGTACCCTTGAAAAAGATTTTCCCAACATCTGTTGCATGCAGCTATATCTCTAATTTCGTTCAATTCATGTTTTCCATTTGCAAATTTCTACTACTTAAATTACTTCTTAAAACCGATAACAAGTTCATTCTAGGTCTCCCCAATCTACCAATGAATAAATTATCTGATTCAATTGCAAAAGAGAGAGCCAATATCTGACTACAACCAGACCTTCAGTTGCAATCATTTAAAATAAAAATGCACTGTAGTCTCACGAAATCCACCAACATGAACATGAGTACAATAATTTCATTGGCACGTTGCCATGCTCACTGGGTTTAAATTGAAACATACCCACGATTAAAACATACCTAAGAAGATGCCGTTCGTCAATGTCCAAGTTGATGATTTTCTGGAAGAGCTGGTTAAGAGCCTGGTTACTGTGTGTTACTATCAGGGTCCGCTGGTTCGGGAAATTGTGGTAAATGTTGTTGATCACCTGCACTGCTACGTCCGTTTTTCCTGTACCTGGAAGAGGAATGGCCTTCAGAAAAACCAGATTTGTGCAAAGCGATTTAAAAGAAATATTCAACAACGTTTGGCACAATTTATTAAGATTCTGAGACGATTCCTATAAAAAATCATCAGACTACTCACCAGGAGGTCCAACGACCATTGTTAAACCAGGATTACAACCGGCCTTGATGGCCTCTATTTGTGTAGGAGTGAATCTGACGCTGTTCTCTTTGGGTTTGTTGTAAGGGTAAGGGCCGGGGTTGGGTAGGGTGTACGGGATCACTTCCAGGCCGGCTCCTTTTTCTGGGTATTGAGAAGTTTGTGAGTAGTTTATTGGTACAGTAAGTTGTTTGTATTGAGGTAGGATTCCAAGACGGAAAAAATTTGAAACCGTGTGAATAAAAATACTTTAGAACGCAATTACAATCGGAAGATTAGCTAGTTCAACAAGCTGAAAGATAAAAACCAGGAAAGTGGATTTTGAATGGTTTGATCTGTTTCTCGGGAGCTGCATCACACTTAATCTCCGATCCTAAGAAGTTCTCCAGTAGGTGCTCCGCGTCCAAGAATGTATCATTGAAATCTATCGTCCTTAAAAGAATATTAAGTTAAGTGTTGTTAAACATTCATATCTGCAGTATGAATATGTTATACAGAATGTTTATAAACGAATGTCGTGATTTCAAATGATCATGATTTGTAATGTTTAAAGAAACATTACAAATCATGATTAATAATTAATTAATTAATTAATAATGTGATTAATTTCAATATCCAGTTTCATACTCAGTTTTATTGGGCATCTTAGAGTAGTGAGCTTCCCCCGGATCCCCATAACCCAGGAAGATGTCATGAAGCCAGGCAGGAACCACACATTCCGTATTGATCATGTCCCGGATAGTTTCCAACACTGCCTTGAAGTTGTTCTCCTTGGGCTTTCGTCTCATTATCAAGTTGAAGGTTTCGTATACATCTTCCGATCCTTTTATCGTCTTTTCCATGTCAAACTGGAAACAGAGATCGATTAAGTTACAGGCAGAGTAACAGATTTTTCGCATAATATCTCTTGTAGAGAATTTGATGGTCAACGCAAATTGAAATCAGATAAACACACTTGAAAGACATACCTGGTATTGGTTGACATCCAGATACAGTCTGACAGTCCTCATTCTCGTCTTGTAGTCAGGTTTCTCAAATCCCTCAGCTACCACTCTCCCCTCCTCGTCCAGATACCCCTCCACCTCGCACCCTCTCAGATAGCGTAGCCTTACCTGTGGTGTTGTGTTATCTTTGGTGGTATATTGGTGGAAATATCATATTTTCCCCGAAAATCCTCTGTTTTCGTACGTTGCAAGGGTTTTGGGTTAGTATTTAAGAGTAACTGTTATTCAGAAGCTTCTAGAATATCAAATAAAAATGTACCTGTTCTAGGAAGGGTTTTCTGGAGCTGTAAGTAGGTGAAGTAGACAAAGCATCGATAGTCAGAAGGAAACAAACGTCATGTTTTCTCAGCGAGTCCCATTCGGTGGCAATGTTCCGTCTGAAAATGTTCGTGTGAGAATTATAGAAGTTATTTAAAACACTATCCCTGGACCCTGGCGTGTAAAACTGCACATTTGATTCGTAGGCTGGTATTTCCACTGTCATATCAAAGCTTCTCGCAGAACGTTCAATCTACTTGCCCACTAAAATCTATAAATACCCGGGGAAATTAGTACGTGCATTTAGATCGCGCAAAAATTTGGACCACATAATCATGATTTTGTCGCCGCGCCGTTCACCAGAAGACGTTTCCCTGAATTTTGTAGTGGATTTTGTAGTGGATTTTGCGCGCCGAACGTACGTTACAATATTTATCATTGTAGAATCTACGACGCTAGAAGTCAAAAGTCTCAATAAACTGCTCGTATTTATACTTTTGTAGACACTGAGATATAGAAATCTAATTTACACATCCAAACCCATTCAGGCCGCCCATCCAAAATAGCTTGAAATCTGTAACAAATCCCTAAAAATCCAGAGTAATTATCTTTACCCCTAGGCCCAGAAGGGGATTTGTGTTGCTGAGTATTTGAAAAATGTTTTGATGGTTAAATAAGTAGTACATATCCCGAACAACTAAACAAAGACCAAGTTTTAAGCTCTTGAACCACTCAAGCCACTCCCAGAGGCCACGCCCATCCCAAAATTACCGAAATCCAGCTAAAATCCGGACTTTAAAATCTTTACCCCTGTAGTGCTTTTATGTTCCGGGGTAGGTTGGACATGTTTTAGTTTAAAAATGGGTTCTACCTGTCCCAAACCATGATAAAAATCAAGTTTCGACCTCTCAACCCACTCAAGCCACTCCCAGGGGCCACGCCCATCCCAAAATTACCGAAATCCAGCTAAAATCCAGACTTTAAAATCTTTACCCCTGTAGTGCTTTTATGTTCCGGGGTAGGTGGGACATGTTTTAGTTTAAAAATGGGTTCTGCCTGTCCCAAACCATCATAAAAATCAAGTTTCGACCTCTCAACCCACTCAGGCCACTCTCAGGGGCCACGCCCATCCCAAAATGACCGAAATCCAGCTAAAATCCAGACTTTAAAATCTTTACCCCTGTAGTGCTTTTATGTTCCGGGGTAGGTGGGACATGTTTTAGTTTAAAAATGGGTTCCACCTGTCCCAAACCATGATAAAAATCAAGTTTCGACCTCTCAACCCACTCAGGCCACTCCCAGGGGCCACGCCCATCCCAAAATTACCGAAATCCAGCTAAAATCCAGACTTTAAAATCTTTACCCCTGTAGTGCTTTTATGTTCCGGGGTAGGTGGGACATGTTTTAGTTTAAAAATGGGTTCTACCTGTCCCAAACCATGATAAAAATCAAGTTTCGACCTCTCAACCCACTCAGGCCACTCCCAGGGGCCACGCCTATCCCAAAATTACAGAAATCCAGCTAAAATCCAGACTTTAAAATCTTTACCCCTGTAGTGCTTTTATGTTCCGGGGTAGGTGGGACATGTTTTAGTTTAAAAATGGGTTCTACCTGTCCCAAACCATGATAAAAATCAAGTTTCGACCTCTCAACCCACTCAGGCCACTCCCAGGGGCCACGCCCATCCCAAAATTACCGAAATACAGCTAAAATCCAGACTTTAAAATCTTTACCCCTGTAGTGCTTTTATGTTCCGGGGTAGGTGGGACATGTTTTAGTTTTAAAATGGGTTCTACCTGTCCCAAACCATGATAAAAATCAAGTTTCGACCTCTCAACCCACTCAGGCCACTCCCAGGGGCCACGCCCATCCCAAAATTACCGAAATCCAGCTAAAATCCAGACTTTAAAATCTTTACCCCTGTAGTGCTTTTATGTTCCGGGGTAGGTGGGACATGTTTCAGTTTAAAAATGGGTTCTACCTGTCCCAAACCATCATAAAAATCAAGTTTCGACCTCTCGGGCCACTCCCAGGGGCCACGCCCATCCCAAAATTACCGAAATCCAGCTAAAATCCAGACTTTAAAATCTTTACCCCTGTAGTGCTTTTATGTTCCGGGGTAGGTGGGACATGTTTTAGTTTTAAAATGGGTTCTACCTGTCCCAAACCATGATAAAAATCAAGTTTCGACCTCTCAACCCACTCAGGCCACTCCCAGGGGCCACGCCCATCCCAAAATTACCGAAATCCAGCTAAAATCCAGACTTTAAAATCTTTACCCCTGTAGTGCTTTTATGTTCCGGGGTAGGTGGGACATGTTTTAGTTTAAAAATGGGTTCTGCCTGTCCCAAACCATCATAAAAATCAAGTTTCGACCTCTCAACCCACTCGGGCCACTCCCAGGGGCCACGCCCATCCCAAAATTACCGAAATCCAGCTAAAATCCAGACTTTAAAATCTTTACCCCTGTAGTGCTTTTATGTTCCGGGGTAGGTGGGACATGTTTTAGTTTAAAAATGGGTTCTACCTGTCCCAAACCATGATAAAAATCAAGTTTCGACCTCTCAACCCACTCAGGCCACTCCCAGGGGCCACGCCTATCCCAAAATTACAGAAATCCAGCTAAAATCCAGACTTTAAAATCTTTACCCCTGTAGTGCTTTTATGTTCCGGGGTAGGTGGGACATGTTTTAGTTTAAAAATGGGTTCTACCTGTCCCAAACCATGATAAAAATCAAGTTTCGACCTCTCAACCCACTCAGGCCACTCCCAGGGGCCACGCCCATCCCAAAATTACCGAAATACAGCTAAAATCCAGACTTTAAAATCTTTACCCCTGTAGTGCTTTTATGTTCCGGGGTAGGTGGGACATGTTTTAGTTTTAAAATGGGTTCTACCTGTCCCAAACCATGATAAAAATCAAGTTTCGACCTCTCAACCCACTCAGGCCACTCCCAGGGGCCACGCCCATCCCAAAATTACCGAGATCCAGCTAAAATCCAGACTTTAAAATCTTTACCCCTGTAGTGCTTTTATGTTCCGGGGTAGGTGGGACATGTTTCAGTTTAAAAATGGGTTCTACCTGTCCCAAACCATCATAAAAATCAAGTTTCGACCTCTCAACCCACTCAGGCCACTCCCAGGGGCCACGCCCATCCCAAAATTACCGAAATCCAGCTAAAATCCAGACTTTAAAATCTTTACCCCTGTAGTGCTTTTATGTTCCGGGGTAGGTGGGACATGTTTTAGTTTTAAAATGGGTTCTACCTGTCCCAAACCATGATAAAAATCAAGTTTCGACCTCTCAACCCACTCAGGCCACTCCCAGGGGCCACGCCCATCCCAAAATTACCGAAATCCAGCTAAAATCCAGACTTTAAAATCTTTACCCCTGTAGTGTTTTTATGTTCCGGGGTATAGTAGGTGGGACATGTTTTAGTTTAAAAATGGATTCTACCTGTCCCAAACCATCATAAAAATCAAGTTTCGACCTCTCAGCCCACTCAGGCCACTCCCAGGGGCCACGCCCATTCCAAAATTACCGAAAGTGCTTTTATGTTCCGGGGTAAAATCAAATCCAGACAGAATGCGAATCTTTACGCCTGTATGCTTTAAGGGATTTATGTTCCGGGGTATTCTTTTTGGTATGACTTACGATCACCACTCATTCGAGGAATATATTAAATCAAAGAATATTCATTTTCATTTTTTTTAATGAAGGTTCATGATCGCATTTATTTGATAGTTTTGATAATCAGATCGATACGAGCCAAATTTTATAGGATCGTATTTGGCCTTTCAAATTACGTTTGATCTGAAAAATGAGAGTTGTAGCTTCTCAGATGACCGAGATACGAGGCATGACGAGTTAATCCATTACGTGTGATCAGGTGATTCGATTACCTGTTCAGGTGATTAGATGGCCCCGTCAAATTGCAAGGGAACCCAATTAAGGTGACCTATCAGATAATCACCCAATCAATTTTGTTAACGAGATACATTAAATGCTTGATAAATTCGTCATTTCAAATACGTTTAGCCTCAATTTTTCAGATCAGATGCAACAATTAATTATCTGCAGTAATCTGAAATAAATGGGCGTCTAGCATGTCCGGAAAGAACAATATAGGTGATTTAATATTATATGGGCGTAGTCTAAGTATTCAAATTTTCAACATTGGCGACGGAATCTTCGAATGAGTAGTTACAGCATGCCATCTGCAAAGTTGCAGGTCCATAATATGAAACACAGTGGTGGTATAAGAGTCCAGGGGTGTAGGAATGATTTTCTTCATGGGGGGGCAAAATTCTAAATATTTTTTTGCGCTTCGCGCCAAAGCCTGAACTTCGAGGGTAAGGACAAAAGGAAATTGCAGCATGTGCAGTATCGCGATTTTTCACGTTTGCCGCGACAAATCCCGATTTTTCAGATCCTGGCCTCACGACAAATCGTGATTTTTTCAGTTCTCCGCGTCAAATTGCGCATTTTCCTTTAAATCTGAGGACCAAATTCGCGTATTTTCCTTCAAATCTGTGGGCCAAATATCACGTTTTCTATAATTAGTATATGAAACCAATCAGTATCACATCCACAACCTACCGAATGAAAGGTACGGACTTCAAAAAACCTAAAACAATATTTTCGGCTCATAATGATCAGGGTAGTCATTCTCGATACGTACCTCTGAAAGCAGAGCTCCCGCTTCCGAGCTCGTATTGCGAAGGGGAGGCCTGCCATCCGAAATCGCATTACAAAGGGGATCCCTCGAGTCCAAAATCGTGAATCGAACTTCGAAAACCGAAAAAAATATTTTTGGCTCATAATGAATGATCAGGGTAGCATGAAACATGAACAAAAGTAGTTTCCAAGAAAACTTTGAAAATTTTTGACTTAGAAAATTTTCGGTCCGAGTCATTCTCGATAAGTACCTCTGAAATCAGAGCTCCCGCTTCCGAGCTCGTATTGCGAAGGGGAGGCCTGCCTTCCGAGATCGCATTACAAAGGGGATCCCTCGAGTCCAAAATCGTGTATCGAACTTCGAAAACCGAAAAAATATTTTTGGCTCATAATGATCAGGGTAGCATAAAACATGAACAAAAGTAGTTTCCAAGAAAACTT